GTTTTCAGTCTTAACATTGCTGTTAAACTGCTCATCCGTGTAATACTTGCAGTTATTTTCAGAGTTCTTAAAAAAGTTTTTTTCAGGGTCAAAGTCATCGTCCAATTCATGATAATGTTGTTCGGTGTCTCCAATTGTGTTCAGTTCCAGATCCAATCCCTCAAAAACTATTAACCTCTGTAGCAAATCACTTGCCTCATTCCGTACGTGGGTCATACTTGTTGTTGGTTCCTGCTAATTGTTAGTTCCAACGCTCATCTGCCCTCGCAGATATCAATATACCTGTGTGTTTCTTCATACAGCTGAGGGTCCAGCGACCCCTTCATACGCTCCTTGTCTCGGCATACTGGTCCTCGGCATGCTGGTCATGGGCCCTGGATTCTGGTTCCGAGGACGGGTCACTTGTCGGTCATACCGCAGGAACACGATGTCTCATGATTACAATATTAACAGTCATTAAGCCTAATGTCCAGAGCTCTAAATGTGATTTTATTCTATATCAGTTTGACTTCATGGTTGCCGTTCGGACGGTTTTTGTGGCTGAGGTGGAATGGCTTTACAATAAAATGTCAGCTGAGTGACATGAGGCTATTTTTTCCACATGTACAGTATTCCTCATCTTACAAAGCTGTCCGAGTGTCCCTCCTCCTCCTCCTCTCTGAACTGATGCTTGCCACAGAGTTCCTTCAACAACCCAGTCCCAGTATGATAAACTAAGAGTGCTGAAATGTCTAATTATTCATAAGTCTTGTTCTCCAAGTAAAGCCTAGTAGCATATAGCTTAATTACCAATCTGAAGCTAATTAATTTCCCTAATAAGTAAAGTAATAGTATGTGGGCCATTTTGTGCACATAAACACTGGCCTTGCACTGCAGCATACATTTTTAAAACATAAGGTGCATGCAGCATACTCTGATTATTGTATGTAGTGCATGTGCATTGTGTTAATTCATACAGTTGAACCTCATTAGTAAGTGGTATAGATTATAATGTACCACCCAAGTCTTATAAACAGCTTCATTTCACAGCAATATTCTTTTAAACCCGGAGAATTGTTTTTATAATTTGAATAAGCAGTTTTATTATTAGTCAGAGACAAACTGAAATGTCAACACTGAGTAGATTAGAGAGGAGAATCTATTCATATAACAGTTTTCTCGGATCACTGATGTGGGGCAAAGAAGCAAAGCAGTAGCTGTGACTGCAAAGACATGCATTTGATCCTTGGCAGTGGTAGTTTTGGGGAAAACAATTATACTTGGCATGTTTTGAGTATTTTGTGTGTTCATTTTGGTAAAGAGGCAGAGCCGAGTCTACTCAGAAGAGCGAGTAAGAGTTTGTATACCAATAAACAACAGATCTGAGTGTTTCTGATGTACACGGTGTAACACACAAAGGAAAGCAGGAGCTTCTCACAGCTGGAACAAACCAAGATAAACTGTGGATGGTAGTGAAACAGCTCTGGGAACACCTCAGGAAACAAAACACAGCAACCGAATTGCTGAAGAAAATAAAAGCATTTTGCTGTTTCTGCTAAATCTGACTGCCCGTGTCATTCTAAATTTGTAGTTTGATGGCCTTTGCAAGACGATCGTTTAACTTTCTGTACAACATAATCAAATATGTTGATTTCTTGTAGGAGAAGTGCGAAATGGCATATTATAAAGACTTATATAGTATAATCTGTATTCAGCTTCTCTTTTCCGTTTCTATGTGAGAGTCCTGTGTGCACACAGCCCCGCAGTCTCGTGTCCTTTAATAGACATTGGTGGGGTGTTAACCTATGCTAATTAGGAATGAGTGGCAAACACATGGGACTAATCAGTGTAAGAACACCGGTGCAAACAATTCTACGGTTTAAGAACGTGTTGATGAGTTAGATGCAGACTTTTCTTAAGAACAACCTGTGAAGACATTTAAAAAAAAAACCCTTAGGAAGATGTTGGTGAATGAGACCCATAAGATCACAATATTTATATGCCACCGAATCAGTAGTGTACAAAGGAATGCCTGGATTTTTATGGTTCTGCGTCACCTCTTCCTGTGGCTTCCCAGACAAAGTGTAGTAGTACTGTATGTAGTATGTATCAGAAAGTTATGGACAGAGCGCACCAGTCTGCAGAAGATGCAGTGAGCTTCCTGAGACCTTTAGTGTTGTCAAGGACTACAGCAGCAAATAATTGGCCATTCCAAATTGGTAAGATAAGTTGGAAAAAAGAATTATTAGAATCTGAATCTGAAGACTGCATACATATCAGCACTGCTGGGATTTTAAACCCAACTTGAATCCAAGGTCAAACTCCTGCACATCTGGGCAGGAAGCGTAATGGAGAACACAATGTGCTCTCTCCCCAACACAACCACTGCAAAGGAGTACTAGGGCGAGGCACCAAATTCCCAACTCAGTGGTCATTAGTAATAAGATGAGGCTGTAACAGACACTTCACAGGGTTTAATGTGTTCAGTTTTATGGCTGTAGCTGCTTCATATGAAGCTGCATGCTCAGCAAGATTGCATCTGGAAAAACAAAAGTAAGCAAAGGAAAATAATACCCAGGTAGGTTCATGCCATGATGGGTAAAGTCTGCATGAATAAAGACTAATCACTGATGCATAAACAATAAACATTGCTGCTACACAAGTAGGCATGTGCCATAGAAAATGTACATATTAATAGACCAAAACATTTTAAGGGTTCAAGGTTTCAGTTTTTATGGCATTGACTCACTCTGCACAGCCGTGGTGTAACAATAGCTGCTTCTTCAACATTTGTTTGAACGGCAGAACAGGCTGCAAATGATCCAAAATAAAACATTAAGTTGTTATGAGATTATCTGAGCTGCAGCGTTCAATCATAAACCAGATAAGAGTGCCTTTAGTCCCGCCCTCCTCCCTTCAGCGAGACGAGTTCCTGCCCCGAAGCCTGCCAATCATCTTGATGAGCTGTCTCTTTAAATGAACCTGAGATAATCAGTATGTGTAGAGCTGCCAGGCAATTTGGAATAATACGTTCTATTGATTGTTCACTATATTTCTGAGAGGCTGCAGGTTTAGCTTTGTTGGACTTAATTTTCTTACTTTGTAAAGACTCAGAATCCACACACTTAACATTACTATCACCATTACAGTTACCACAGTCTTTCATTTTAAGTCTCATAATGCAGTGAATTGTTTAAAATAAACAACAGTGATGCCGCTGACAGACAGGCACTGCAGAGGGTCATTAAATCGGCCCAGAAAACCATGATACACTGCAGAGAACATCTACATCAGCAGGTGCAGGGCCAGAGCCTCGTCTATCATGAATGACCCCATGCACCCAGCACATGGACTGTTTGAATTCCTTCCCTCAGACAGGAGGCTGCAGAGCATCAAGGCCAGTACCACCAGGCTTAAATCCAGTTTCCTACCAGAAGCTGTGAGAATTATGAATTCTAAGCCTCTCTGATGGACTGATGCATTTTAAATATGATGCCCATTTGTTTAAATGCTGTTGTTACATTTAGTGTATTTATTTATTGTCATATTATTATTTCATATGCTTTTAATATGCCGGTCCTGGGTGAGTAACTTCATTCTTCATGTGTGAAACGTGTAGAATGACAATAAAGGAACCTTGAACTTCAAATTTACTGAAATGACTAGTTTAGATTCATATAATGCAGACAGGTAATAGATAAAGCAGTTGAAAAAGTGGAGTCTTGCAGTTTTGTTTCCAAATAGTTTACTAGGCGACTCGACTGGCCTGAAGAAACTGGCAGCATCATGGTTTTATCATTGGCCAGTGCACAGAGTAAAACTGGCAGCGTAGCCAAAGCACAAACATCTGCGCTCACTACGTCACAAGCACTCAGTGTACGTTGCCGTGAGATGGACTCTGAGAGCCAAACACATGACACCCATCCAGGAGATGCCTGTATGTTTCTTCCAGCTAATTGCAGTCTGGCGTTCACTGTTCGACCACTCGGCCAATAAATTCTTTTGTTTTTCATGTGATATGAAGGAAAAAGCTCACAGCAACCCAAAGCATATTGACTGGCATTCAACGGTTATTTTAGAGTGTGAGTAAAATGGGGAAACAGCGTTCATCATGTATCACGTTGATTATTCATCGTCCTGGATGAATCTGAGTTCGTTCATGAACTTTTTCATTGTGCAATGCGAAGGTGTGTTTAATAAAGGTTTAACGAGCGTTCATTTGTCCTCAGATAATTAATGAATACCTTTATGATACGTTTGTACAGCCTGTTTTGAACATCACATCTGAAAAACCCCTAAAAGGTGTTTTGCTGTCAGCAGTGTCAAATTTTGACACATCAATTAGGAGCATGCTGCGGGGAAGGCTGGTGACCTGTTGAAAAGGAAAACTATAACGGAGCACTTTGCTCGTCCCCCCCCAACTCTGCTAATGCACTGCTGTGAAAACCAGCAGCAGTGAAGTGGGTCCATGTGGCCTGGACCCCAGCGACTCTGCTGAATGGTTAGAAAAACATACCGCCATCGTGAATGTTTCCATCTCCTCTGTTTCCATGCCTCTTTCCAAAAAGAGTCTTGGGTTGTGCGAATGTAGTTTCATGGTGTGGAGACATATATATGTATGAAGTGAGGTCGGACTGGCTCCATCATCTTCACCCTTCATTTCCTCTGTAATGTGTCCTGCTCCTCCCTTTAACATGAATTACTCACAAATGTCCTGTTGATTTGTTTAAGTCCCCCTATCATTACATGTTGTCTTATATTGCCATCTATGAATCTTACTGTCTGCAAAGCTAATATGCTATAAAGCTAATTGAAGGTTTTCTAAATGCTGCTTTAGACCTGCTGTTTGTTCTAATCCTCAACACTTTGAAAATGTTTTTACTGAAAGAGCAGTCTATGTATCTTCTATAAGCATATCACTTCATTTTTTTACAGAGTAAATAACAAACATTTGACACATAAAAGAATTCTTTTCAAGTTAAAAATGTCTGCCTCTCAGACTATCTGCAGTCCAGCGTCTGAGCTTCAGACATCCTAGAACATAACAAAGTGGAGGCACAATTGCAGAAAATATGCAGTCAAATGTGTCTGTGCTGTGGAAGGAGTCCAAATTGAAACATTTCAGTTCAGCAGCATCAAACCACGAAAAGAGACGTGCAGAGTAAACACCGGCGTGGGATTTTATATCGAGACAGGAGTCCAGTGTGTGATGCTGTTGAAAATAGTTCATAATTTATGTTTTGTTTTTATTTTAAAACAAAGTAAGAATGAATATGTCAACGTGATTTCAATGAGCCCCAAGCTGTAATTAATCTGCAACATTTGTTTTCTGTCATTTTATGTGTGAGTTAAATTCCCTGGCTGTGTAGCAGCTTTACAGTAGTTTTATCATTCGTGCTCCTCTTTCTGAAGTTTGCATCATACCTTTGTGATATGGAAGTGATTAATTTGACAAAATAGCTTTGATGTACTTGTAGAGTTCAGCAGAGCAGCTAAGGTTCAAACAGCTGTCAAGCTGTATCCTCTGTCAGATTCCTGATCTCATTACCACGGCGAAACAAATGTGAGCAAACAAAGTCAAAAAAAACATTCAGCATAATATTCTTCTGCTGAAGCCTTGTAGCTCTGAGCTAATGTGTATGCAACAAAGGCAGTAGCTTCCAGTTCCAGGGCTAATTGAAGACTTAACCCCTGAGTGTTAACTGTTGACTGTCAAAGTCCAATGTTGTCATAACTGGTTGACCTGTCTGATTTGTGAAGTTGTGGAGCTTGTTGTGCATCTTGCTGAGCTCTCGGTGTTTTTCATAGGTGGTTCATCTCGACAAGGAGGAGGAAATACAGAAGCTTCCTCGTCAGCCTCCTTATTACGACATGGCACCCTCTGAGTTGACCCCCCTCACTGATAAGCTGGTGAGTAGCGATGCCATGAGCGGGTTCATGAGAGCTTCTCTATGGAGGGGCCACACATGGCTGCTGCCTTTGGCCAGTTTAATTTGCAGGTGAAAGGGTGAACGTTATGCGCCATTATGCCTGCAGGTATTTGAGAATTGATTTACAAATGAAATGCAGCGCTGAGACGCTTCCTGAATGTCACTGAGGATTGTGAGCGTAGCTGCTCCCTTCTTTGCTTGTCTGGTGTTAAAAGTGGAAAAGAGCCTTTGTAACAAGCTGACCAGTAAATCCACTGGGTGCTTCCTTTAAGCTCCTTATCTCATCATTTACATCAGCACCGCTCACCTTATACCTAAACCTGGGCCGGCAGATGTCCTCTCTCTCTCTGTGGACTATTTCATGTTCCGACTCCAACGCTCTCCACCCGCTCTGCCCTCCGCCTCACCCCACCTCCGCTTCCTCTAATCCATTGTAATTACTTGTGTGTTTGCATGGCAACCGTGTGCAGATAAATTGCAGTGTGATGCTTTATAGTACATCATCACCCCTGAGTGTTAACTGTTGACAGTGAAGTGTTTGCCTTGTTGTATCAGATGCCTCGGCTAACTGTGGTGAGCCTCCCTCAGCGCCGCAGATGCTTGACTGTTCTGGGGGATTTATTTGCGTTGGCTTGAATCTTGGCTTGAGCTTTGAGTTGAAGAAAATTCTAGTCAACTTTTACCCAATGTGTGTGCATTTGTAAGTCTGTGTGTTATGTGTGCAAGCCGGAAAACAATCCTTTCAACTGTCTCTCTCTGTGGTAAGTGAACACTTGCAGGAGCCGCCATACGATAGCTACCAGGAACAGTCTGCTTTATATTATTATTATCATTGCTACCTGCATTACTAATGAAGGTAGATGTGTCATGCTGACAAACAAACTGTTAGTCTGCTGTTAGTGTAGAAGAGAAAATGTAGTTTGCAGAAAGCTGGTGTGCAGAAATTGATGACAGCATCATCTCAGCGTTCCTGCATTTGTCATCAACACCTTGTACCTGCCTGTCTCGCAGTTAGTTTAATGAAATCAACTAATTATTTTTTTTTATTTGATTAGTTTAAAGTCAAATCATCTTAAAATTTCAAAGTAACTCAGAAATCAAATCTACAGTCAATGAACACTGATCCTACTAAAAACCTTGTGACCCTGCAGTGTAAGGGTCACACAGGCTCCCAGTAATCAGGTTACTTACAGTATGTTTCATCCAAACTCCACTGGCGTCCTAAACTACATCACATATGCAGATTTAACTGAAATGTGAAACATATGCCAAGAAGAAGAATAACAACATCATCATTTGTGCAATGGTGAAATTGCACAGTTTCCTCAAGAAACCTCTTGGTTAATATACAGTATGTTCCTTCTGGTTTGTCTTGAGCTTCTCCATAAATGTTTGAAGCTTCCTTCCTTCCTTGAAGCCACAGAGAATTGAGTGGGAAAATGGGAAAAAAAACTTATATATTGGAGTTTGTTAATAAGGAAAATATGGACTGTCCCCAGCCAGAGGAGTGAGCCAGCTGTTTAGGTAATTTAACCTGTTACAGTGTACAGGCTTGGCATTATGTGTCTTTCACTGAAGATGAATAATGAATATTCAATAACTTGAACTGGCTTAATGTGAATTGTGGTCTGTTGTGCAGTGATGGAAGAAGTACTCAGATCCTTTACTTAAGTAAAAGTACAACTGTAATGGCATCTAAACATACTTAAAGTAATCATTATGTGAAATGGCACATTTAGCAAGAATGTATATCATTACTGAATTATAATTACTGGTGCATTGTTGTGTACATTGCATTTAATGTTGCAGCTGGTGAAGGGGGAGTAGTAGTTTTAGTTTTATTTTGAATTACTGCTGAGTAGCTTATGAATTTTACTGTATTTTCCTATTAATCTGTTTCTGAAAAGTAGTTAGTAACTAAAGCTATAAAATAACTGTAGTGGAGTAAAAAGTACAATATTTGCCTCTAAGTGAAGTCAAAGTACAGCAGTCAAGTCAAGTAAAGCATAGATACCTCAAAATTGTACTTAAGTACATAATTTGAGTAAATGTACTTAGTTACTTTTCAGCATTGCTGTTGTGTTAGTTACTTTTCTTTAATATAAAATGAGTGAGCACAACTCAAACAAACTTCCTCCTAAACATCACCAAAAATGGAAAACTCTGTCCCATAACTGTTGAGTTTTAATGATGTTTGATAAACCTACATGCTCTGCTTTGTACATTAGCCTGTCAGCCAAGCGTTTTACTACTTCTGCTCTGCGTTTATGTATACGCTCTTTAACTGACTCATCTTTTCTCACCAAACTTGCAAGGATGACTCAATTACTGTTATTCTTCATCTCGATTTTCTGAAGGATGTTCAATTATCATCTTCAGTTCTATGCTCAGAGGAACCAAATGTTTAATTCTGGTAATCCTTGGACACCGGGGGTAGATTTTCCTTAGATTTATTTCTTATCTCTGATAACATTCCACTTAAGTTGAAGTTTAGATCGGCTCTGACGATGAAAAGTGTATCACTGAGGTTTTAAAAACACTATTTGTGAGAGACATGCATTAACTGCTGAGCGCTGAGTGTTGCTAATGATGATCCTCTAGGGGCAAAACACTATCTCCCTATTTTGAATGTGATGTGGCTGTAATTTTCCCCCTGATTGCACTCTGGTCATGACAAATATTACAGATATTTAAATATCTGGTGAGTGCAGAGTGTGAGTGCTGGGGAAATATGCAGCAATACACAGTAAGTTTAAATGATTAACATGGAATTTTGTAAAAGCTTAAATCATTTCTATGTAATTCTTTCTCAGATGGAAATAAGGTATACTGGTGCAGTTGGGGGGGCAACCGGTATCCTCCGTTGCACTTCTTCCCTGCACACCCCATCCATCCTAAGATGCTGTTTAGGTAGATACAGGATAGTTGACATCTCTACTTTGCATTTACTTTGTCATAACTCTCTTATGCTCAATTGATTTCATTACTCATGCAAAAAAAGCAGTTGTACTAAAAGCACAGGCACTACCCTTCCATCCAATCACTGGCTTTTTCATAGAGCCATTTTTATTCTCAGTACAGTAAAACATCATGCAGCAGCAAACTAGATTCTGGAATTTTTACTTAAATGTCACAGGCGAAGCGGGAGATTTGTCCATTTTCTTTTAATTCCTGTCATCATTTGGCTGTAATTCTAGTTTGTTGCTAATACAAGCATCAGTCCATGCTGATTTCCATTCCTCCTTCACTGTGCTGAAAGAACCACTTTGTTTTGCTTTTCATGAACTGACAAGTCGCTCCATTTTTAACATCCATTCCTACTCAGTTTATTCAAAAGAAATAAATGTTGAACAAACAGTTTGTCAGCACTGTGACTAAATTACAAATGTTAAGCACCGTCTTCTTTGTGGAGAGGCAGAGGAAATCAAAAAACCTACTTGCTTTAATTGTTGTTTTATTAGCTCATTGTGTTTTTATGGTGTCTTTCAAGCTTACAGTATGTCCACATATCACATTGCTTATTAAATACATTAAAACATTTCCTACAGCTTATGCATGTTTCTGTCTTTTCACTAAGTGTCTGAACTCATCTCAGTCTCCATGAGCAGAACATGACAATCTCAGAAGTATTTTTGGAATGGGATAAACAGCACTGAAAGCTTTCATTGTCATTTATTGATTACTCCATTAAGGTCATTTACTCAATCGCCCACTTGGCCAATTGCTCATTGAGTCAATCAGTCAGTCAGTCATTGGACTTGTGTTTGTGCACAGTGCTCAGATGCTGACTGAATGAAGGTCTTTGTCTGTGTTTACATGCATTCTGATAGTCCAGTATTAAAGAAACCACTCCAGTGACTCTGTGAAGGTGTTTACGGCTTGTGTAAATGCCTCCATGTGTTTCATAGTGACTGTGGTTGCAGCCTTAATCCGTGAAGTCATACAACCATCAGGGCACATAAATTACTGTCTACATGGTTTTAGCTTTTTGAAAGATTGTGTGGACATGCGTTTGCCATAATCCCAGCATTAGACTTGGACCATATGTCCAGTGTTTGTTTGGCTTGTTTGGTCACAGTCATTGTTTTTGTTTGAACTCAGTTTTCATGCCCATCAACTCACAGTTGCACAACTTCTGAGAAATGCACAAGAGCAGAATGATGAAAAAAAAATCAATCTTAATACAATACACACATTATTGAGCACAATTCTGTGTTCATGCAAACACTTTTATGAATGAAAATAATAGATCACTGTGCATGTAAACAAAGTCGGAGCCCTTCTCCATCGCTAACCATTTATTTATGGTATTTTTAGGACTGCATTTTAAATTTTGTTGTGCAATGTACAATGACAAATAAAGCTATTCTATTCTATTCTATTTGTGATATTATGTTTTTCTGTGTAATATCTCCATCTTTTTGTTGGGTTTTCATATTCTGTCTTAATCTGACATTTTCTTTCCTTGCTTACACATTTTTCTTTGCCTTCCTCTCTATCACTGCTGCTCACAAATATCCCCATGACCACTGGCTTTTCAGTCAGTATCGTTTCTCATCTGTTTGTCTGTGTCAGCCATCTGGCTTTCTCACTCTCATACTTTTGGCTGTCTCACTCTTCACACACCTTTCACCTCTCTTGTCTCCAGAACTCTGGCCACAAGGACTGTGATGTCCAGTATGCTGAGCTGGATTCTACAGCTTTGTCCTCCTCTCCCAGCCCACGAAGCTCTGCTCACACTGGCCCTGGGGAACTTGTCGAGTATGCAACTATCCAGCCTAGCTCACACTGGCACATGCCATTATAGGCCTTTACCCTCAGACTTTGGCCTCAAGGTACACAGCCTGATGCACTCCTTCCCTTCATTCATCCCCCCTCTCACATGCACTGCCGTCCCTTTATATGCTCGACACAGTTCCCTTGTCTACCATCCTCTTTAGTTTTGGCCATCTTTTGATTTCCCCCGCGCCACTATGCAGA